ACACACACACACACACACACACACACACACACACACACACACACACATTCAACTGAAACAAACACACATAATCAAATAAACACTGTATGACACTTCTCCAAGACTAAAAACATGCTACTGCACAAATGGAATTCACAGCTACAGTTACTCAAACACAGACGCTAACATGCACGGGCGCTCACACACTAACACACAAATAAATACATACTCACACATACACACATGCAGTAGCAGAAGAATGGTGAGTGGAAAACAAAAAGGCTGCCTCCTAATAGAGCGGAAAATTGCTCTTTGATTCCAGAATGGCCGAATTTGTCTCTCTTTTTTTGTAATGTGTCATTCTTTATTCGGCTGTGAATGGACTGCAATGACCTGCCCTGCACACTTCAATAGGCCCATTCTAGAGACCTGGTGAATGTGAAGGGGAGACATGGAGAGAGGGAGAGAGAGAATAGACGTCTGAGAGAGTGTGTTGGGTTGAAAGGAAAAAAATGAGAACAAGAGAAAATGCAGATGGAGACAGAGAGCGTGAAGGCGGCAGGCAGAGAGGAGAATAATGGATGAATGATGCCGTTTGACCACATGGAACTACTGAATTAGTCATTTACTGTGTGGTGGGAACAATAATTAGTTTTCTTTGATTTAACAGTTTAAGCTACTTTTAATGTTTTATTGAGAAAAACAAAGAAGGAAAGCATCGGAAATGAACGGAAATACATTGTGCTGCTTGGTTTGGATATAAAGTAGCTTCAAACTGAGTGACATGTAGCGCTCGTCTGGTTACAGCTAATTATTAGTTCCTGGTATATGATCGTTATGAGACCTGCATGGTTTCTGCATCACTGTAACTGCTCCTGTCCACCCAGGCGTCCACTGGGACGTCTGGGTGGACAATCGCAAAATAATAATTTTGGGTGTTGCAAAACAACACCCAAAATTCAATGTCTGTTTATGCTCGTTCAGAAAGGCCTCTGCAGAGTGCATGAGCTACAAGGGGCTTTTACGCTTCAAAATATCATGTGAAGCAGTAATAAGCGTTGTAGCGAGTATACTAAACATAAATAACTCCTCAATGACTGTTTGAAGAACCAGGGGAAAAGGGACGCGAGCGGGGGTCATTCGTCTGCACACTGCATCGAGACACTTGTTTCTACATTTGTTACCAACTGGGAAGTCATTTGCATACTGAAGAGTACAGCTTTCCCCAAAAAAGAGCTAGCTTTGTGCTTAGTTACAAATGCTTTGGGTAGTTCCTCTCTATCTCAGAACGTACTAGAAATAACTGAAGCTTTACTTCTGAATAATTCAAACCAACAGCGAAGATAAATTCTTCATTGTTCTACCCCATGACCTACTTCTCTCTCTCTGGAAAAGAAGCACAATTACAAGAGGAAAAGAAAACAGAGCTAGTGATTCTTGTGCAGGAGGTGAAATAACACCATGTTCAGCGTGCACATCTTCCCACAGATGTTGTACTTGTATAAAAACATGCACACGTGTAGGACTCTGATGTACACTGACCATTGAAGTACGCATGTGTCCACTGTCTATGTCCTTGTTCGTAGACTACATCAGGGATCCTAGATCCCAACTGAATCACCTGCACATTGCATTTTAGCAGATGTGAAATTCCACCAACATAATGTCAGAACAGATAGAACATTCATATTGTACTTGTCTTTCGTTCAAGTTACCATAAGGAACTTTTAACTGGTTATGAATCAGTCTCAGTGTGAACGAGACCATTAGAGAGAAGATTGTCTTTTTGTACATAGTTATTCCTAATGCTTGCATTTGGTGCCACCGTGTCGGATACAGCACAAAATCAGAAATAATTGTGCAGGTTCACCACAAACTGCCTCAGCTCAGACTACAAGGAGGAGAGCTCAGCGCCCGACAGCAGCGTCTCCTCCTCCTCCAGGAGCAGAGCTTCTCCTCGCTGCTCTGCTGGGAGCCAACACTGACACCACGCTGCTGGAGACCGAGGCTGTATTGCTGGGCCCGCTGGAGGGAAGGGAGGCATGGGGGAACCAGAACCAGGACTGAGCGGGACAGATTGTTAGAATCTGGTGCTGAAAAATGAGAGGTTTTCTAACGGGAGTCGGGTGCTCGTAAACACTGCTGCTTTTGTCCACAGGGACCGCCAAAATGAAAGTTCCTTGTAGTAACTTTTCGAGATCCTTAACTAAAATGCCATACCAAGCTCAGTTTACTTCAATGCTAAAATAAATAAAAATAAAAATGTCTCATGTGTGACATCTTCTATCAACAGTGTGGTCTACCAGGACGGCTTTTATGGAGCGGAAATATATGTAAGTCAAAATCTATTAATATGTATTTTGATTTATACCCAAGGAGTCTTTCACTGTGATCAGTCAAGAAAATAATGTGTCTTCAGCATTTAATTCAATGCTTCAACGTCACTCAGTTGTACTGTACCTGGATGTTGGTTTGAGGTGGTATTGAAGTCCTCTGTCTCTCCTCAGGGAGGGTATGCAGCTTACAGATATGCCCAGCCAGCTGGTACTGCTGCAGCTGCATACAGTGACAGGTATGTTGGCAGCCTTCTTCCTTCTGAGGGTCACGATAAGGTACTCTCTTTACACTGCATTGTAAATAATCATGATCATACCGGCCTAAAAAACACACGTTTTAATGGACGATGTCTCAGTTGAAAGAAATGTTATAATAGTAATGTATACATAATTATATATACATATATGCTGTTATAATCTCAGAACGGGTTGAGCTGCGCATATATTTATGAAACAACAACACAGAGTCCGAACCAAGGCGGCAGACTTTATTACTTCTTTCAACCTTGACAGAGGCAGCTGAGACCAGATCCACTCCTTGTGTTAGACGAGTACTTTGCATTATCCTTTATTCTTCATGCCTCCGGTTCGAAAAGTTCTTTAGAATAGAAGAAGTTGTCGAAATAGTAGGGATAACAGAAATGCTAGAAATGAGTGTTCACTGGACGATGTGGTGTTTCCATGTATTATTCTCCAGTCACGATTAACCAATTAAATATGACCTCCTGGAGTCCTGTTTTAACCCCAACATGGACATATAGATGTTACTGATCTATAGAAAATGTATTGCTCTTTGTTGTAAACTCAATACTTTGTTCATGTTGGGATCCACAATGATGAGGGAATTTGTCCAGCGATCTGATTGGTCAGTAGTCGAGCTGTTGACAAGTTTTGATCTGGTCCTCTGAACTTGACCTGCTCAGCACATGTTACCTTGGTGATCTACCTCAGTTAACAGTGAGCCAGCTTTGTCATGCTGGAAAGCCTGAGATAAGACAGCTGGCTGGGCCATTCATGTTGCCTTGTGATACGGGCCACAGGAGTAGATGCTCTCACACTGTATGCAGCCCGACAAACTCCACAGAAGCTCACCTGGACAGATGATGAGCAGAACTAAAGAGGATTTAACATGGTGCCACGGGGCTGTGGAGCAGTCTATGTGAGGCAGGAGAGAGCAGTTTGATCCATTCCATCCTTCAATTGTCATTCCCCTTGGAGCTGCCTGTCCCTGAAACTCCCGAGCCTGGTACCTCCCTGCCCAGAGCTGCTGCTCAGCTGCAGTCTGCTGTGATTCCTCCAGATCAAAAGTGATATGTGTTTTTAGAAAAACATGTGTGTGTGTGTGTGTGTGTGTGCATGTTGTGTGCACCCGCTTCCACTGCTGTCTACAGTAGGTGTGTGTGTGTGTGTGCATGACGGTGCTTGGGGAGCTAATCTTAGGGAGATTGAGCATGTCAGGGCCGATAAGAAACAGCCACAGCAGGAGCCTGTAGGCCTCCGATAATGTAAGATTTATCAGAGGCAGGGAGCGAGCGGTGCACTCGGAGGATTATGAACAAGGCAGAGAGGAGCGAAGCAGGTGAGGGGGCACGTCTCTCTCTTCACCAGACTTATTTCACTCCCTTTCTTTTTCTCTTCTTTCTCATCGTTATTCACCCTCTCTCCCTGGCTGCAGTATATCGCCCCCCGTCTCAGATCTGTGTCCTCCTCATTCTATTTTTTAAGCTCTCCAGATTTAAAGGGAAGCCCAGGCGTTGAGGTGGAGGTGAGGCAGAGTTGAGGGGAGATGGGGAAGAGGCTGGGGTGTGGTGGAGGAGTTCATTGTGGGATAAGAGGGGCCTTTTACAGACGGGACTGGGGACTGAGAGACCCTGCTTCTATTCTGTCTGCACACACACACACATTAGGCTGCCACTGGCTACACTTGAGACCAGGCAAGAAGAGGCAAAATGCAATCAGGATTGACCATGAAATTCTCCTCGTCATCTTCCATCTGCTCTCACTGACACAAGCCTTTAACAGCCACAGCCTGGAGACTCTGCGTCGGTAGGGGTTCACCTGTTCACTGTAACAAAACGGTACTATTTTACTGTTTGTATCTATACCATGAAAAGTCATGCTGCAATAGCACTGTAATCATGGAAATCATGGACATGTATTTGTGTTTATTTAGGAACATATGTCATATACCCTTTCACAGGAAAGAGGGATTCCATAAATCTGTTAGATTGGACAGAGACTGATCAAACACTGATAGCGATTAATCAGCTAATTAATCATTAATGCAGCCCTAGACACTACCCCTACTTCCTCCCTTCCTCCCTTCCTCCTCCCATGTACACTACACTACTATTCTTTCCTAAGGTCTCCCTCTGTAACACATAGTCTCACACATAGCAGTGCACTCTTATCTTTGCCCTCCAGACCTACGTTAGCTTCCCTTTACTCTTCGAGGAGAATAAACAAACTAGACAGGAAGAGAGGAATATAAATAAAGCGGTCTGGTGGCATCAGAGAAAGAGGGATGAAGGAGGGGGGAATGAGAGAGGAGAGGAGCGTTGAGGGAGGGGATTAGTTCCAAGCCAGTGCTGGTGAAAAGACTGGAATATAAGCCCCAGGAGACAGACAGAGATACAGGGGGAGATGGCAGTCAGGGGGCACAGAGAGGGGAGGAGGAGAGAAGGAGGTGAAGAAGAAGATGGCATAGAAGGGGGGAGGGTATGGGAAACCAAATGTGCTATATCTCTCTCAAAAATGATTTCCTTCTTTCTTTTAGGTTCCTGCTTCTAGATATGTTTTCTCTGTACAGTCCTATATTTGCTTTTCCTCCCCCTATGCCGTCCGTCTCTGTTTCCACACCACGAAAGATGATTTTTCTCATGTTTCTCTTTATTTATAATCTCATTTCTCCCTCCCTTCAGCCATCTACTACTCTTATCACTCTGCCCATTTATTTTCTTATCTTTCTCTCTCTTTTTTCCTTCTCCAGCTGACGTTACTTTTATTGCAATCCCTCCCCATCATCTGGAAGATAAAACACTTGTCCCCTTTTTCTCATAAATTGAAACGGGTAAAACAAATCATTGCAATCACACACTCTCACCTTTACAACGTACATTTATAGGGACACATCGATTGCTTTTTCATCCCATAGGCCTGTTCTTAGCATGAGTGAGAGGAGGAAATGATTATAGATCTCTCCTCCGGACCCCAGTTAAAATCGACGACCCAATACCTTATGTGTCTCATGCATACTCATTGTGGTTGGTTGGCACTCCCTATCCATTATCAAACCTATTCAATCAAAGCCAACATGCACAAGATTTATGCCTGGTGGTTGGAGTTGGGGAAGGAGGAAACAATTAACAGAGTATTTCTCAACTGATTAAATTCCCTTTTGATTTGTACTGGTTCAAAGAATCCATATGGTTTTATGTTTGGAGAATAAGTCAAAATGAATCTACTGCCTCATATACGGAAACTTCCTCCAGAGATGCCAAGCTTAACCTACACTAACTGTTAGGAGATGAATACAGGATTACATACGTCCACACTAAGAGATGGAAATAAAATATAGAATCTCTAAAAATATCAATGAGCTTGTTTAAATAAATGTAGCATTATAACTAATTTCACAATGTTTGGATTGTAATCACTCACCCAGAACTGTTTCTGGAACTGTTTAACCACATGGAGGTGGGTGTGGATGCATGACCCTCGACACCAGCTTGGATCTATAGCCTTTATTATTTAATTCAATGTTAAGCTTCCCTGGTGCATATTCCTTTTATAAAAAGATGTAATTACCACAAACTGTTTGACACACATCACATGGGGTGGGTGCTATTACAGCAGAGGGATGAATGGTATATATGGCACTAATTCTAATAATGCTGTCATGAGTAGTCTGCTGGTGTGGTGTCCACTGTGTGTACCTGAAGGGTTCTTAAAGGTAACAAGTGAACACACACACACACACACACAATTCAAAGATAGTGGGAGAACCAGAGGTCAAAAAGAGCCCACAGCTCTAATCTGCCCACAAGGTGCTCTAGCACAGCCATTCCCAAACACTGGAGATTTTATTTGGGCTGCCAAATAACATTGCACAATTTCTTCCATAGTCTTTTATTTATGATGTATGTCCGCAGTGAACCTTTGAGCCACAGGAGGGAACCGAAATGTTTGTATTGTTCTGGAAATTGTAGGCTGCTTATAACATTGAATCTAATATGAAGAAAAGTTATATTCTGTTTGTTTTACTGATCAGATGAAAAAAACTCCGCCTTTTAAACATACTGTATATCTTTTCGACATGGCTGGTTCACCTATTCGAGGTCATTATCTGAGTTAGGAATTATCTAAATACCCTGGAGGTTTCTGGGGGTCGCCAGATGGTAGTTCTTTACATTACATCGCCTGTAACAGTGATATATTTAGATTTTTCTCACACTTCCCTGTTGTCTCCCTTCTGTCTGTCTGTGGGAGGAAAAATAATTATAGCTGAAAGTTCTATTTACTACAACAAGCAGGCTAAGAAACCGCGGCGTGACGTGTTCTCTCCATCTGTCTGTCTACTGATCTCATCGGCTCGGTTTCGGTACCACGGACTGCTCCCACGCAAGCACTCCTTAATTAAGCCATACTCATTTCCCCATTTCACAGAACAAGCGCCCACTTGCTTAGCTGTGGGGCTTACAGTAATCACATACCCAAATGTATAGACACCAAAAAGCATCAAATCACTTGCCAGCATATACATGTGGGGCTAAGGAGGTGCAGACATTTTATGAGACACCAACCTGATTATTCAGGGGGGTCGCGACTGGAAAAGATTGAGAGCTGCTGTCCTGGAGGGATACTGTCATTCTTGATTAATGCAGGCCCTGATGTTTGCAATATATTCAAAGATTGTGTTTAGCTTCATTTGTCTGGTGAACATCTTGGAGAAGCTGTCAGACTTACGGTTTTCTACTCAATTGTCACAGTAAACACTGTTTGTGCCTGTTTTCTCCTCTATAGTTATGGCAGAGTCTATGCAACAGCGGACCCATATCACCATACGATTGGTCCTGCAGCCACATACAGTGTGGGCACTATGGTGAGTCTGTTCCCTGTTTCCTAGCTGCTGACTTAATGTATGTGCTATCATGATGAACAGCTACAGCATCCTCACTCTGTTGTCTCTGATACCTCACTGTATGACACACCTGCACACATGGATGTTTATTTTACAAAACTATTCATATGAACTGAATTACTAACAGTAAATAAATAACTCGATCAAATAATTTGCTGACAGGCTTTGTTAATAATCTAGAAAGATCTTTGCAAAATGTTTACTCTTCGCCTTGTTCCTGTGAGTTGTGTTTCCCTCTGAGAGACCCATTCTAATGTTGTATGTGCATCTTTGCCACTTCAGTAAATGAAAAAGGGACATTTTCTTATTCTCAGAGTCCCCATTCAATTTCATTGGCTGAAAGCTCCTTGTTTGAAATCCAATCGAGACTGAGGATTCCTCCCCACTGAAAACATTCTCTTCAAATTTTGCAAGGGGGAGAGTCGAATGGTTAATGTTTGTTTTTAGCTAGCTTTGCAGCTAACATCAAAGATGAAAAAAAAGGCCTTTCCAAAGAAAGAAATAGAGCACCCCAGAAGATGGGGAGAAACTGAGAGCACAATTTGTTTTCTTTCGTGGGTGTGGGCAGGGACTTCCTCCAAAGATTAACGACCATCTAGTAAATGCTTCGACGTGCCGTGGGAGATTAAAGTAGGAGAGAAAGATAGAGCAGAAAAGGAGGAGAAGGAGAATTAAAGTTCTTGGTAGCAAACCGGCTGCAGCCGGAGCAGCTGCTCGGTGCAGCGTCTTGGACAGATGAGATGAGGGTTGATGCTGATTGCTGACGTGCTTGTGATGACGGAGATCGAAAGCGCCAACACCTCCCCTATGTGTCCCCCAAACTGCCCCCATTCCTCCCTAGTGCAGCTGCTAGCTAAAAGCCTTCATTAATTACGACATTTTTTTCCTCTTCATTTACTTAAATAAAACAGTGGCCTCTGTTTTTCTCCTTATTACTCTACACGTTCTTCTCTTTTGTCTTCAAATTACTCCTCCCTTTTCCCCCACTCTCCCATATCCAAACCCCTCACTACCAATGTTTATTCCTAATTCTCAATAAAATAAAGACATAACACTCCATTGATCTTAAACTTTGTCATGCCTCACATTCTGAACTTAAGCCCCAAACAAGGTAAGGTAATAATGATGTGACTGATAAAGTCAGAATTATTGGTTGGAGAACACTTTTTCTTTAGATGAGAATCATCATCGATCTTCATCCGACAACCATGCATAGTCACAAATATTGTGGAAAGTTGTAATTGTAATATATCCATTCTCGTCTGCTATTAGGTTGGTCTGAACAGAGAACATGGAGAGAGATACAGACACAATTTTCCCTCAGTTTCTATTTCACTACACATTGGGAAACAGAATGAGGAAACCATGGTGGTTTTGTCTGTAAAAAGGTTGTTCTGATACGAATAACAGCACAGTAGATGCCTCTGATGGAGCCTGAAATGCTGGATCAGGTATTGGCGAGTATGCGAGTTTATGCACCAATCTGATATAATATTATCGTATGGTTTATCAGGTTACACTACACAGGAACAACACATCACCAACTCTGTGCAACTCTCAAGAAGGGTGAGAAGGAAGCGAGATGGCTCACTCGTTAGCTACTTACATCATCAGCTCTGGAAAAAAAGATGGCTGCATCTGAAATGGATGATGGAAGCAACGAGTGAGCCGTCTCACTTCTTTCTCATCTCTGTTGAGAGTGAAACACAGCATGTACAGTGTCCATTAAGCAGGTGCTAGTGGAGAGTGTAACGTTGGCCAGAGCTAGCAAAATGTCAGAAATTTGGCAATATTTTACACTGGAAAATCCCACCAGTTAAAGGGCAACATGTTTTGAACACACTGGTATTGGATCGGTATCGTCTGATATGCAAGTTCAGGTATCGGATCGGTATCGTATGGAAAATATTGTATCGGAACATAAAATGTCTTTGCTTTTATTCCTGGTTGATCTACTGTGTATACAGTAAAAGACAAGCCAGGATGGCTCAAGGAGCAATTACGTATTGTTATTATTTGGTTGTGAATTCACAGCTTGTTAAATAGCAATGACGGTTGTCTCGTGTTCGTCTCACCTCAGACGTGTTTGGCCACTTCTTGTACAAACAGACTTTCTGGCCACAGATGACAGCAACTGTTAGTGATTCAGTCACTTACTTGTGGTCATTTTGTTGTCTTTGTTCACTGCTGGGTTGAATGCTATCAAGAATCAAAATGAAAAACGAACTTAGAAATCCACGCTCAAGTACATGCAACAACCACATACACACAATCCTATTCTTTCCACAACTACCTTGTGCACAAAATTTCCTCAATTAAACAAAAGACAAGTGGAAAAAGGGAGGAGCGTTTCTTTGGAGGAAAGAGAGAAGTTCATTTTAATATTAATAATACAAAGGTTCTACGTTGAATACTGATTGGAGCTTTTTCATCTTTGATGTTGCAGGCTAGCCTTTACAGAGGAGGGTGCAGTCGCTTCACTCCCTACTAGAAAAGAGAGAGGCACGTCCCCTTTCCTTCCCCGCAAAACAGACACAAAAACAGCAACAAATGAAATGACTTAATAACCATCTTCACCCTCTTCATGGAAAACTAAAAACAAAATGCTTCCAAGTGGCACATGTGACCCTGAAACTCCAGAATCACTCTGAAGTTGCTTCCCTATTGTACACATTGTCATTTATTGATGTAATGTACTTATTTTGGAAAAGAACATTTTGTTACTCTGTGTTGACTTAAATGTATTTGTATTGCCATGTGTGCAGTGGTAAAAAAAAAAAAAGACAACATTCAATGTAGACAAAGGAGGGAAAGAGTAGAAATGGGAAGCTTTTAGTCTCCCTCCGTCTCACTCTCTTCCTCTACAAAATATTGGTCCGCAACTCCGCTGTTTCAGGGTGGCCTTCTGCGCTAGTTTTAATCCCATTTAATTTCTCTACCTTCATTGTTTCAATTAGTCATTTTCCCCTTATACATTAAAAGCACTAATGTTCAGCAATTACAGTTTGAGCAACACATTTCAGATTGGATTTATTAAGTAAATGATACGGCCATTCCACCCCCTCAGAGAACTGGCTCCAATCTAACTGGAGCTGAGTTTCAGACCGGCTTAATGGGATTTAGAGCTGCTCAGCCCAAAGGGGGTGAAACTGCAACAAATCGCTACCAGGAAGTGATGCATTATGAAACCCAGAAGGTGAGAGGAAGAGCGTGATGTATTACTGAATCTCAACGCAGGAGGAAGTGATGTATTAGCAGGGTGTGAAGCAAGAGCTATGACAGCCATTGCAAAAATAGGACGCAGTGTGTTAGAGCCCATTGATCGTTGGCACAGGGCCAGAGGCAGGAGGTATCCCATTACTGCTGAATGGCTTTAAAGGAGAAAACCACATTATTTCTGTTTCATGTCTGGTCACGTCCTGCTCACGCTAAGCAATAATCCCACAGTTGCTCAATATGCATATGGAGGAATACTGACAAGTATGTTTGACCCCTTAGTGAACAGATGGGAGGGTGTGATCCTCTTGCATTTAGTTAATACTTGCAAACACATTTTAATACCATCTCAAAGCTACATTTGTCGCATTTAGCCAGCATAGTTTAGCAGGTTAAGTTCAATATTTCCTATTAATATTAACACTTTGCTACCAATATATAAAGCTATGGTTTGATCTACACTATTCTGATGATCAAACTGAAGTGCATTTCCTTTCAGTGGACATGGAAGCTGTAATAACAGTGGCTATGATCAGTTACGTTTATATCACATTGATCAAATACATTTGTCTTTTTGATAGTTCAGTAAGTTGACTTACAATAACCTCGACACATATGTCCATCAAAACGTTTCTGTCACAGTTTTTCTCTTGGATGTAGCTAGGTGGGAAGTCGAGAATTAGATTCAACACAGGAAATTTGAACAAATGTGCCATTACTGTGCGTTGTCTCCCCACGCATGTTGACCCCCCACACATGTTGACCAGCTCATCAATTACCTCTGAAAACAAAAGACATGTTTACTAAGATACTTGCACGTGTCTGGTGTTCAGGACCCGCTCCCCCCCCCGACCCAACTCATCGAGATCCTTGCCCCGAACTGATATCTGGTATAGGCTGGTTTAGGCTGCCCATTTAAAGTGATAATTTTGGGCCTTTTTATACATTTGAAACTAAGATAATACATTTTAAAATGAAGGGAATTATGGAAATATAATTTAAATGGTTATTTTTTGCTTATTTTCAAAATATTGATTGTTATTTTCATTTTATTTAATAGCCTATATTTATCATCCAACACCAGCGATCCAACCAACATGTTCCAGAACAGAACCCGGAAATTAAATATAATCAAAATACCATCCGCCAATTTATTTTTTTGCAGGTCACCTGGCGGGTACCTGTGAGCACACAAGTTGATTCTGTTAGCACGGAGAGCGATTTGAGTGTTTGGGTATAGAGTGGCTGAAATGGAAACTCTAGCGCAGCTTAGTATCAATTCCTCCCTGTCTCCAGGCATGCGTCTTCTCTCTGACAGACAACAATCTGTGATGTTCCCCTTCACCCACAACAAAACGGCCTCAGACCATCTTATTGGATGTCAAGTAAAAGAAGGAAATATAAGATCCTTAATGCAAACACAAGATCTCTCAATTTGATTAGTTTTCAGTGGGATGAGTTGTCACCCAGACCTCTAATTCAAGACCAATAAAAGAGAAAGAAGCAGCAAAAAGAGCAGTGAAGCCAGAGGAGAGATGCTCAGGTCAGTCATTGTAGTTAAAAGTCTTTAGTATCAGCTGCAGTCTGGACTAGTTTTCCTCTCGTTCTCTGCCGGGAGATTGACTCTCAAGGTGACCCCCCTCCCAGGTATAGTGTGTTTTAATGAGGTTGTCAGGCTGGTGTAGAGAAGCAGCTTGATAAGTCTGCTCAACCTAATAACCTCCAACCTGCATCAAAACCCCAGCTAACCGTAATGTAACCGGTAGGGAAGGGTTTTACAACCCTGGCTCAGTACAGGATGATGAAGACAGATTACGATATTTGTTTTGTAATTAGATGGATGCATTTCATGTTTTCAATATAATCTTGGAAGTAGAATAGAACGTGTGCCGCTGAAATCCACATGACACGAGGATAAATCTGTAATGACAGGGATTTTAAGAATTGATAAATGAGATCATGGGCCAGAAAAGGTTGCGATGCCCATTTAAAAGCTAATAGCAACGCCCCCCCAACCCGTGGTAGCAGGACCGCATTGTCACGGAAAAGTAGCACCACCCTCCGCTCCCCATATTTAAACTGTCAGCTCTGTCAGTACTGATGCTGATGTTACCACTGATAATACTGTTAATGATAGTAGTTTTTTCTGGGCACAGAATGCAGGTAACATTTGACTGGAGAAGTTTTTTTGCTGCTTGGTACAGGGTTTTCAGTCGATACCTTACCGATAGCCAGCCCTTGGCATATTTCACAATAGAATTTCCAAGTCCTGATTGCTTGTGATCGCAAATAGTGCAAGTGGCTCGTTTCACAAATGGTTGTCAGTCGCAAATTGTAGATAAGTTAGCGAGTTGTACATTCCTCTACATGGAACACAAGTATGATGGTTATTTTGATAAGCAAAAGCGGTCAAAATGAACGCAAGAGGAAATTATCTTGTGTTGCAAGTTAGTTGCAAGTTTAGTAAAACAGGCCCACAGCTGTCCAAAGAAAGCTCTGTTAATCTGAGTTGGTGTGAAATATATTTAACGGGATACAAAATGGGAGTCTGCTTATCTAAACATTGATCTGTAGCAGCGCCAGTGGCCAGAAACTCCACAGTGTGGCATTAACAGCATCAAATCGACACCGTCACTTATTCACGTTATCGTTAGTTAACTAGCTGTTGATGTGACGTGTGACTCAGTGTGAGTTATCTTTGTTGTAGTTCAAACAATATTTCCATTACTCAACACATTTTTTGCCCAGTTGACTGTTAAATGCAAATAAGAGCAAATACTAAGTAGCATTCAGATGGCACATTTAGAAGAGTGTGAATAGAGATCAGTTTATTAATGTCACTACTGTACAGTGATACTACAGCAAACATACATGTCAGTCATGTTGATGTGCTGTGTGTGACTGAAAAAAACAGGAACAGTGAGGTCAAAATAAATAAATAATTATAATCTTTCATAATCATTTTAAAATGTCAATTTACCGGGAGGAAATTCTGATGTGTTATTGGACACTTACAAAACTCAGAAGTGAATCTTTAACATGAGGCTGATATCAGCCAGATGAATGTTGTCAATGTGTACACACTCAAACATGCTTAGGAGACATACGCTAAGAGCAGCACAGGCAACTCTCCCTAATACACCCAAGCATTCAGTTATACACCAATCTCACTCACTCTCATCCAGTCACTCACACACACACACACACACAAACTCCCCCACCAGTAAATAGCATCTGTGCCTGCTGTGTCTGATGGGATCGTAAAGAGGGGAGTCAGTAGCGCAGGAAGAAAGGGGACCGAGAAGAGAAGCAGCAACCGAGGCAATTTACCCCACAGATTAGAGATAAGAGAGTTCAGTCAATAAGCACTGATCTCATTTGAAGATATACCAGACTGGCTAGACTCACACACACACACACACACACACACACACACTAGTTGGTCTATTGCT